GGCTCTCACTCGTATGTCATGCTAATTATGCTTACTGATTGTCTGATGAAGATAACAATCCCCCCTCCCCCCAAGAGGTGGCACGGGCATGAATAGCCCAAGTTGTAGAATTTTCTTTGGAGTGAATGGATACTGTGTCCTGAGGTCGCTTTTATATCGTCAGCCTGCTATCGTGGGGGAAGATACCGCTCCTTATGTTTACACTGTGTGAACTATGATATACCCGGGCCCTAATAATGCTTAGGATAACCCCACATCCCACGACAATGTGCCTGTTCCTTTCTGATCAATCTTCTGGGAGGCGCATTGTGATGGGATTTTAAAAGTCAAAATATACAATGATGCCATCCTTTCTACTATCAACTGCCTCCAAAATGCCGAGAAAAAACTAGAGCAAATTTTGTCAAACATGATCAGTCCTTAGTAAAGCCTTTGTTTTGAATCCTTTATTAATCTACGTTTTTTAAGGAGTATTAGAATGGCGGATGATTATTGATTCAAGTAATTTGACCAAAACAGACGTCAAGGTGATGGATCGACGCAAGTGATCTATCTTCCTTCGTAAACATCGTCATGTCATTCACAACTCTCCACAATTCTGACACTCAACTCGATTTATTAAATATTCAAGAGAAGGGCTCACTAATTTAATTCCTTCCATTCATTTGTAGTCCTGTCCAATATTTCGTATGGAATCGGGACTCAATGGGCTTTAATAATTCAAAATGGTATAAAAATCTATCCCCTCTGGTAACTACTAAACTAGTGAACTCAACTTCTTCAACTACAATGATTAGTTCAGATGCAAATAAAATGCTCTTCACTAGTAAATATTGATGAAAAATACTTGCATTGAATACCACAGCTTTCCTTGTCATTATCAGATACCTGACCTGTTTCATATTTGATAACTCAGACTTCTCCCTAATCTTCAGACTGATATAACAAAAGGAACCATTTAGAATTTGGCTTGTCTGCTACTTTCTTCATGCCTCACAGATTCCTTTTCTTCTCTTATATTTTTTAACAGTTCTTGTTAGTTTCCCCTAATTGTTGTTCTATATCCATTCCTTCATCCTTCCGTCGCTCTACCGTCCAAGTGGTTGGGGCACCATTCCTTCCCCCGTCCCATCCCAAATCCTTATCCTGGCCCCTTCCCAATGCTATATGGTCGTAATGGCTTGGCGCTTTCCCTTGATAATTCCTTCCTTCCTTCATTTTTTATTCTTTTTTTTCCATTGAACAGATTTCTTCTTTCCGATAACGTTCTTTACTCATATTACTAACCTAGTTATTCTTTCTAATAACCTAGTTATTGACTTTGTTCCTTTGTCAGCTTTATTATTCACTGAGTTATTACGAGGTTTTCTACCGAGAGTCGCTCCAGGAAGTTGCAATATTTGTCATCTGCAGTCTTGCTTTTCCCTCATGCTTCTGTGATTGTGTCAGTTATTGAGTCATTGCAAAGGCGGTGATCTTCCTGCTCTAAATCATTGCTGAACTTAGATGTTCAGTTCTCTTTACCTTCCCAATGACCTCTATAATGTGTGATGTTTGTGTGAGAGATCTACTGACTTTTGTTCCCATTACTTTATTACCTCCCGTGTTAGTGGGTCTGTCTGTCTACGAAAGTGCTCTTTCTATTTTATATCTAATCAGTATTTAGGTCGTCACTTAATATTACACTGAGTGATGTGTTTACAATGTACAACTACTACTTTGAATGTTTATATTAATATGCCGTTCTATGCTGACGATGAGATACAATAACGTGCCTGATGATATGATGATGATAATGGTCCAGAACAGACCGAAACGTCGCCGTTTCTTCATTTTTTTAAGGAGTATCTTGGTCATCAAAGCTTGCTATGACTCAGGCTACTGTGCTGAATGCAACAGAATGTTCCAAAGTTGTTTTTCAAAGCCCTTCATCTCTATTGATCTGCGTCAAGCGGATATATTGTGAGATTTTGACCGCTTCACCGGAGAATGTTTGAGTCCACATGTTTTTGATTTTAGTGCGGGGGAGGGTCGCCCCGGGCAGGTGCTGGGTCTCTGCTGACCCCCGTCAATGTTACAGTCCTGCTTGCTGCTCTGTTTGGCCGTAATAACTGTATGATTTGTTTACGATATGAATATGGAATATCTGCTGTAGTTCCCTCTGATTATTTGTACATTATTCGCGAAGAGAAAAATCAAGTGCATTTTCCTTGTTTGTTGACAGTAATCTATGGTTGAGTAGATATTAGTAAGGAGACCTGTGATATGTGTTAGTTATATAGGTTCTATTCCTTATATTAAAGTTATTGTTGTCCTCCACTTTAGACTTAAGAGAATGATGTCGCTAGAGCATTTGATGCAAAGTTCTGTGAGTCTTCAGGAGATTGTTGTTGTATTGATGTGTTACCTGCATGCGTATTGCTGTGGCGCTCATTGTGCACACTTGTGTCTGAGAGTAACACCTTGTGTTCCCTACTGTGATGCCACGGATCTCCACCACAATATTTATGGAATGTCAGAGATCTGTGTATTCAAGTTAGCAGGCATCCACCAGTCTCAGGAGACTATGGAGTTGCGCTCTGGTTGTCGGTCTGGAGTGGCCTCTCCAGGGCGCAAAGCCAGGGTAGGTTGATATGGAGGAGAAGCTGTCACCCATGCAGCAGGTCCTCTCTCTCCACGGCGCCGAAAGTCTCCAATGGAAAGGCAAACGCCATTACGATTGGTTCCAGCGCCGTCGCAGTTTATAATTATAGAAACCTACTCCATCATTAACCTATATACTCGATCACATTTATGCACATTTTATTTTGGTACTATCACTTCACGTTAAAAATATTCTTTAGTACGGTTTTTAAATTTTGTCCCGAGGAACGAGTTTATTGTGCAGCGCCACTCATCCTATGGGTGGTCATATCACCAAAGCAGCATATACAGCACTCCCCAATAGGAAGAAAACCCGCTGGGTTGTGTCAAGGAAAATTTTCTGAATATTGCATTCATTTATGAGTGTAACTGTGCGTCTCAGTCATGACTTCAGGCTTTAAATGCTGACCAATATGAAGATATTTCCACGTGTGTTTCCCCCGGAAGACTTTGATAAGTCAGCCGCTTCTCCGTCTTGGTCCATGTGGCACAGGTTGCATTGTTTTATTGAGTTGTTTTATACTGCTTTTGCAATGGTGTTTGTGGGAGAGGAAGGGACGGAGTTGATGCTGTACCTGCTTAGTTGTGGTTGCGGGGGTTGAACTTTGCCTCTTTGGTCCCGCCTCTCAACTGTCAATCAATTGGTGTACAGGTTCCTGAGCCTACTGGACTCTATCATATCTACACTTGAAACTGTGTATGGAGTCAGCCTCCACCACATCACTGCCTAATGCATTCCACCTGTTAACTACCCTGACACTAAAAAAGTGTTTTCTAACGTCCCTGTGGCTCATGTGGGCACTCAGTCTCCACCTGTGTCCCCTTGTTCGTGTCCCACCAGTATTGAACAGTTTATCTTTGTCTCGATGACCAGACCACACACCAGAAGATGAGGAGACCACCACGTTTCGGTCCGTCCTGGACCATTATCCATGGACTGTCTATGGACTGTCGATTGTCATTATCCATGGACTGTCTATGGACTGTCGATTGTCTATGGACTTGACGACAAACGTGGTCGTCTCCTCATCTTCTGGTGTGTGGTCTGGTTACCATATCTTCTGCCACGTTATTGTGACTCATCCTTTGTCTCTTTCAATTCCTCTGAGAATTTCATAGGTGGTGATCATGTCTTCCCCTAGTTCTTCTTTCTTAGAGCGACGCTAGGGTTCATTTCCGTAGCCATTCCCCTTAACTCATGCCTCTCAGCTCTGGTACTAATCTGACTCTTTTTCTGTGTTCATGTTCCCATTGTCACCGTACCAGGCCACCCTGTGTCACTGTATCCGTTTCACAAATACCATGTCATTGTTCTCGTGTCACTGTTTCCGTGTAATTTCACCCAAGTCACTGTACTCATTAGTCACTGTACTCGTGTCACGGCCCCTGTATCACTGTACATGTGTCTCTGTACACGTGTCACGGTCCCTGTATCACTGTACATGTGTCACTGTACACGTGTCACGGTCCCTGTATCACTGTACATGTGTCACTGTTCCTGTGTCACGGTCTCTGTATCACTGTACATGTGTCTCTGTACACGTGTCACGGTCCCTGTATCACTGTACATGTGTCTCTGTACACGTGTCACGGTCCCTGTATCACTGTACATGTGTCACTGTACCTGTGTCACGGTCCCTGTATCACTGTACATATATCACTGTACCCGTGACACAATACCCATATTAATACCCGTGTTACTGTATCAATATCACTGTATCCGTGTCACCGTTTACCTGTCCCTGTATCAGGGTTACTGTACCCACGTTGCTGCACCCGGGCCACAGAACACGTGTGTCTGTATCCTTGTATCACTGATCCTCTGTGTCCGTGTATCTGGTGATTCATGCAAGGATTAAATCAACACAAAAGACAGATACTTTTAATATTAAAGTAAGGTCGTTGTTATTGTAATTCCAACAAAGGGGAAATATCACCTTGAATGTTTTTCGCTCTATGTAGTTATTGAGCAAATAATTAATGTAATCTATTGCAACATTCTATAACAGAACATGAGTCCATATGTATGATTTTTAGAAATTATGTGATAACATAATTAGCTAATAATTTTTTTTTAATTCAATTATCGGAGATTCGAACTAGGTTCTGAAGGTCGCAAAAGCGTTGTCATAGTATCCAGGACATAGAGGCTCGCATTAACATTGGTCATGTACTTTACAGGCCCGAGTTCGATTCTACGATGATCTAATTGAATGAGATGTTACCATCCGCGCTATTCTCGATTGCATCTTGCAGGCCAGTAACGAAAGATTAGTGTCGATTTAGCTACAAATTTATCCAGTTAGATAATGTTATTTTTTCCAGAATTCAACTAAAATGTTAAAGAAATCAATACGAAGAAATTTATCTTTATTAGGTAATTAACAGAAGTTTTTACACATGTTTCACCACAAACTTAGACACGTTGGCTGTTAGCAAACTAGGTGACTGCCTAGTTAGGCCAGTATTCTCTCCGAGCGGTCACCCAACCAGCAGCTGGCCACAGTCAACGGTGTTTAACCAACTACGTCACATCATCCTCAACTGGCCTCGAAAACAACACCAATTTTTTTAACATTTCGAGATAATGATTTTAATTTCATAAGCTTTAAAAATACATCGACTTTTCCCTCTAGTTTTGTCATTGATACATTTAAACTGTAGTCATAATCTATAATTACAAATATTTTAGTCCAACGAAATTTAAAAAAACTCCAAGTTCTTGTAATTTATTTAGTTTCCATCAAACCAGACGCTGGTCAACACAACCTGGTGGAACATTGGCTCTGGTCAACACAACCTGGGGAACGTTGGCTCTGGTCAACACAACCTGGTGGAACGTTGCCTCTGGTCAACACAACCTTGGGGAACGTTGCCTCTGGTCAACACAACCTGGTGGAACATTGGCTCTGGTCAACACAACCTGGTGGAACATTGGCTCTGGTCAACACAACCTGGTGGAACATTGGCTCTGGTCAACACAACCTGGTGGAACATTGGCTCTGGTCAACACAACCTGGTGAACGTTGGTTCTGATCAACACAACCTGGTGGAACATTGGCTCTGGTCAACACAACCTGGTGGAACGTTGGCTCTGGTCAACACAACCTGGGGAACGTTGGCACTGGTCAACACAACCTGGTGGAACGTTGGCTCTGGTCAACACAACCTGGTGGAACATTGGCTCTGGTCAACACAACCTGGTGGAACATTGGCTCTGGTCAACACAACCTGGTGGAACATTGGCACTGGTCAACACAACCTGGTGGAACATTGGCTCTGGTCAACACAACCTGGTGGAACATTGGCTCTGGTCAACACAACCTTGGGGAACGTTGGCTCTGGTCAACACAACCTGGTGGAACATTGGCTCTGGTCAACACAACCTGGTGGAACATTGGCTCTGGTCAACACAACCTGGTGGAACATTGGCTCTGGTCAACACAACCTGGTGGAACATTGGCTCTGGTCAACACAACCTTGGGGAACGTTGGCTCTGGTCAACACAACCTGGTGGAACATTGGCTCTGGTCAACACAACCTGGTGAACGTTGGTTCTGATCAACACAACCTGGTGGAACATTGGCTCTGGTCAACACAACCTGGTGGAACGTTGGCTCTGGTCAACACAACCTGGGGAACGTTGGCACTGGTCAACACAACCTGGTGGAACGTTGGCTCTGGTCAACACAACCTGGTGGAACATTGACTCTGGTCAACACAACCTGGGGAACGTTGGCTCTGGTCAACACAACCTGGTGGAACGTTGGCTCAGGTCAACACAACCTGGTGGAACGTTGGCTCTGCGTTACAGGTTTATTGATGTTTACGTTAAATTTGTTGGATATATCTAGCAAACATATTTATTTACAGCGTCACCCTGCCCGTCACCCTGACCGTCACCCTGACCGTCACCCTGACCGTCACCCTGACTGTCACCCTGGCCGTCACCCTGACCGTCACCCTGACCGTCACCCTGACCGTCACCCTGGCCGTCACCCTGACCGTCACCCTGTCACCCTGACCGTCACCCTGACCGTCACCCTGACCGTCACCCTGACCGTCACCCTGACCGTCACCCTGACCGTCACCCTGACCGTCACCCTGACCGTCACCCTGACCGTCACCCTGACTGTCACCCTGACCGTCACCCTGACCGTCAGCTTGACCCTAAGTCAAGCCTGTCCGTCCGTCAATGCGCCAGCTTACCAATAATAATGACTGTCAAGCAGGTCCGTCAACATACATGATCTTGACCGTCAAGCTGGATATTACCTGAAGTCAATACTGCCGACGTGCTTGGTAAAGTGGTCAACATTCTCTATCAATACATTTTTATGTTGACTAAAACACACAAAGCAACACACAAGAAAGACAGATTCTGAAGAGTTAAAACATGATATCTTTATATTGATATAACACATATTGATATAAACATTATATCACACCACTCGCACCATATCAAAAGAGGGAAGAGTTTTAAGTAAAAATATGGCTACAATCTTTATGTTTCCAGGATAACGTTCGCTGATAACGTTCGTGGACAATATACACTGACACGTTCGTGGACAATATACACTGACACGTTCGTGGACAATATACACTGACTGCTTCCAGGACAATATACACTGCCAGCTTCCAGGACATTATATTAGGTCTTTGCCTTGGGCGTCTCGGGGAGCGTGTCAGCCAGCGGGGACCAAGTCTCCTGAACACTTGTCAACAACGGAACACGTCTCAGTAATGGTCCAGGTGCCACTGTGAGGTGACTCCACGGAGCACCGTGGGTGAGGAGCGCCTGACATGTAGGGTCGTGCCACGTTAGACACGTTTACAACACTTCTCATCCGGCCCTCATAGACGGCATGAAGTTTCAGTTAAAACTTTACATACGTTTCTGTCCCCAGGAGTATCTTCATTTCCATTAAATTTAGCTTCAGTTCACCGTGTCGGCTGCCAGCCCGACCTCTGCCTGTGCAAGCTGCCTGCTCGTCCTCCGCCTGTGCACTGCGCATCATGTCGTCCACACTGTCATTAGAGCCTGTCCAGCGGTCCATGGGGCCTCGCTGCCCAGAGGGGTAGAGGTGACCACGGGCCAGGGCTGGGCGGGCCGGGGATGGGCCGGGCCAGGGCTGGGCCGGGCTGGGGATGGGCCGGGCCAGGGATGGGCCCCGGACCTCCAGGCTCTCCCCAAGACTGCCGTCCTCCCCAGGAAGGTGTGGACTGTGGGCCAGGGGTTACCTACAGCGTCAGGAGCAGCACACTCGCCGTCAGCACCCTGGCCAGGTTCGAGACCCTCGCACACCATCCTGGAACACATACTGCATCGGTACACAACACACAAAATGGCGTTCTGTTAATGTGAAAGAATTTTGTTTTTTTTTGAGCTTTACGTATATCAGGACTAGAGAGATATCACATGAAGATAACTACTGAATACGTCAACAATTTGTTTTAATCTATTATGATGGATTTAAAACTATCCAATAGTTTTAGGATAACTATTAAAAACATTTATTATTTAAAAACTTTAGTTGCATTTGAGGCACCTCGCCTTACTCAAGGAAGCCAACCACCAGTAGTCTACCCAGACCAATCCACCACCCACCTCGGCCCACCACCCACGGGGCCCACCACCCACGGGGCCCACCACCCACCTCGGCACCACCCACGGGGCCCACCACCCGTAACACCGTAAAGGTGTTTTGTATATTATATATATACATAGAGATACAAGAGCCACAGACAAGATTTTGAGAGGCGCCATTCTGTCGGCGTGAAAGTCACACCTCCAAGTGACCAAGGTCGGGTCGTGTGAAGTTGACCTTGTTTCTGCTAAGGTCACAGTTGCAGGCGGGTAGCCGGGGGTGTCCTTCAAACAAGCCGCTGTTTAAGGTGTGGCTTGGTAGATGGCCTGGGGTTATCTACTTGTGGGCGGAGCTTAACTACTGGGTTCAAAATAAAAACCCAGGGAGCTGTAGATTAGGGAGCAATAGGAGAACAGAAGAGCAGAGCAGTGAACAGCAGCCAGTCAGGCTGTCCGGCTAGGTAGAGACTCTGCCTCTCAACCCCCTCCACCATCTCTCTATCCAAATTAGGCCCAGTCCTCGGTGAGTTGAACATTAAGGTAACTTAGTCGTGTTTCCTTTTGGGTTGTGTGGTTATCTTGGGGCAGACACCTGTAATGGTTCTCAAAGTTTACTGTAATAACTCACATTGTATAGTTGCATATATTGTAACATCAAAGTTAATGAAATATATATTTAAACCATAATAAGTATCATAATTCAAGCACCCAAACTGAAGGTTCACTCTGTCAGGATAACTATACAATGTGAGTTATTACAGTAATCTTTGAGAACCATTACCCACCACCCACCAGGCCCCACCACCCACCTCGGCCAGCAGCAGCCCGGCCCTCCATGATGGAGGCGTGGTAAGGAAGGTCGGCGGGTATGAGCGCCTCGGTGCTGGCCCAGTAGAGGTCAAAGATGGACGCCGTGCACTTGACCGAGACGGCTCCTCCCTGCAGTAGTCTTGGCCGCAGGGGGAAGCGGAGGCCAAGGACCGCGGTCTCCAGGCCCGTCTCCGGGTCCTCCTGGGGCGGGTACGGGATCAGCCATCCCGGGTCCGCCTGCAGTAAGGGAGACACAGGTCACTTTAACACATGAGAGACGGAATGAGAGAAAAGAAATATTGGAAATAATTTTCATCATAATTGTATTAGTTGTATATCGTGTTGACAGCTGAGGCCAGCGTGGGATGAGAGGATGAGAGCAGTGAGGCAGTATAAGGATGAGGGATGAGGGACAGGACGATAGGGACTCCTGGATTATCCTAAGCCAATGGATCAGGTTATCTGCCCCGTTAAAATATTTACAGATAACGTTAATAGAACAGTCGCCATAAACTGACTATTGAACAATTTGTTTATGTAATCATTGACTCTCAAGCTGAGGAGCACCGCACCTCCTGGCTGTAGTGTGGCGACTGCTCTCTACTACACCTCACGAGGCAGTACTCTTCACTCTCTGAGTCTTGAGGCTTACAAAGATTTTGATAAAGTTGAACTCACGTTGATAGAGATATGTGGAAGATATATTGCAGAATACAACTTAATGTTGAGTCCTGTCATGTGTACTTTGGATTATCCCAGTCTAAAACTAATTGCCAAAGAGATTCCTGTAACATATTCTGAAAATCATCAACGTCACACTAAATCCTCTAAGTGAACACTGGTCTGTTTGGTAATCATCATACCTGGTTAAAAGTAACTACCTGTAAACATTTTCCCTATACAATATCCCCTCTGCTGTATGCCAGTGTTTGCCTTTTGTTAGTTTAGTTCATTTATTATGCACCCCATACCCATCTTGTGGGCAGTAGTGGGAAGGGTTACAGAGGCACATAATGGGTTCAGGGACTGAACCCCACAATTCATTTAGCTAAGCAAGTTACAATCTTGATGAGCTAGTTACAAAATTCAGTATAAGTCGTCACATCATCACTGGGTTGGAGATCGACCAAAAGTAGTTTCTAAATTAAGCAACTGACATGTGGAGAGTTAGTGTCACAATTGATATATTTGTCCTGCACACCGCCCCCCCCCCCATCCAGTGGGCAGCGGTGGATAGTTTACAATCACTTAATTTAATTACTACCTACAGTTAGCAAACACGGGATATTTGGCTAAAATTTATGGTAGCAGATCATTTTGAATGAAATATTTACACATCGCTGGAACATTGGTTATAGAATTGTGTCTGAATTCACGCATCTTTTCGTACTCCGACACATAGTGACGGAGGGTGTGCGAATAATTTTGTTGACACAGATTACATTTGGTCAGGTCTACATCAACAGATAATGTGAATTCCCAGAGATACTTGTAACCGAGTCTAAGCCGAGCAGTAGTAACATCTAGAAGTCTGCTGATTTTATTGGATGATCCATAGATGTGTGGCTCCTGCATGATAGTATGATGATAGATGGAATTACTGGTGTCGATTTAACTTTGCCTCATATCTAGAAGATTTTGTTGAAGTTCTCGGTGTACTGCAGCTCTCAGACTGCTTATTGACAATCCAAGGTTATACTCAATGTCTCCTTTAAAGGCAGATTCTTTGGCTAACTCATTATCTCTATCATGCATTCGGAGGCCAACATTAAATGGAGTCCAAATAAAATGGACCCTGTTACCATCATTAATAATTTTGTTGTATTTGTGTCTAGCTTCGGACACGAGCATGTTACAGTTATGTCTTATTTAAAGAGTTGAAATCAATTAAGGATGATAAAGAGTCACTTACAATTAATATATCAAGTACTAAAAAGTACACATTTCAGTGCAAGGATCAAGGCAAATAGTTTGGTCTGAAGGGTAGAGGCCCAGTTGTTTATACGGACTCCCCACTCAAAATATAAGCCATCGTCCATTGTCAGAACAACTGCACCCGCTGGGGCAGTGTAGGGAACCATCAGTGTATATGATTTGAGAGAGAGAATGCTCTGTGGAGAGAGCAACAAAATGGCTTAAGGCGTTGAGCTTTGCCTCAAGATGAAGCTTGGGCTGATCTCAAATTTGTTTCTTGGGTGGAAAGGAAGGGATTAAAAAAGGAAAGGGGTGTAATCTCCCACGGTGCAGGAAAGTGCCACTGTTGTCTCTTGGTACAAATTATAAATCTGATACATTCTGCGTTCAGTTCCAGATTTAGTTATCCATTTTGAACAATGCTGACCTTCAATAAAGAAATTCTGGAGGGCTGCTGTGCAAGGGGTTAGGATGAGTTAGCTTAAGCATTAATATACCAATTTGACAGTTAATTTCAGTAACACGATCAACAACGCTCGGAATATTAAGTTCCTTTCTCATTTTTAGTATCTTTGTGGTACAAGGGCACCCATGGATTATCCTCAAGGCTTCGTTCTGCAATTATTCAAGCCCTCCAAACTTTCTTTCAGGCATCAGAACAAGCAGAGGTGCAGCATAATCACTAAAGATCTGATGTATGCAAAGTACATCATTTTGACAATTCTGACATTGGCACCATAGCCTGGGTGATAACCTGCAACAGTCTTGAGAGCTCGGAGTCTCTTTTATACTGACGACAGAGTCTGAATACACCAGGACCATACAGTGGCACCTCAAGGCCAAGGTATTTGAATCTGTTAACGTAGACTAGCTGGGAGCTATCAGACAGTTGCATCTTGTGAACAGCTCCTCCCTGCCTGGGTGGGCGCCGATTGTATATCTTTGTTTTCTCTGCTGAGATAATTAAACCTAGGTCCTGACATGAGTCTAATACAGAGTTAAGAGTGTTCTGCGTGTTAGCATACCCAGTGGTGTGTATCATTATATCATCAGCATAGCTAATGATGTGGACGTTGGGTTTGCTCGGTATAGAGTTTAACAGCGTGTTTATTAAGATATTAAATAAGGAAGGACTGAGGAGACAACCCTGCGGGGTACCTAGTTCAAAGTCTCTTGTTACACTCCTATGCCCCTGGAAAAATACAGATGACTTCCTGTTGGATAATTAACCCCTGATCCAAGAAAGAAGCCGACCATCAATATTCATTCTTGCAAACTCACTTCAGATAACATGTCGTTTTGCAATATCAAAGGCAGACTTGAGATCTAGGAAGGTGGTATATGACTTTTCAGTGTGCAGGGTAAGAAAGGTGGAGATACAATGTTGCACACTCCTTCCATGCATGAAGCCATATATCTGGGGGGATAGCATGGTTCTTACTCTATGGAGGAGACGGTTTAGGACCATTCTCTCGAATATTTTGCAAATGCAGCTAGTAAGGGAAATTGGGCGGAGAGCATTCTCTTGATTTGGCTTGAGAAGTGG